CTGGATCAACCTCTTGCTCAAAGCAAGAAACCAGATCAGCTCAGCCATGAACTTTGGCCAAATCTCTAAATCCACCTCCTCTGCCTCTTTGGGTACCCATCCTGGGGCTGCACCACCCAGCTCTTGAAGAAGAGGTGCTCAACCCAAACCTCCCAAAGTGCAATTTGTGGCCAGTGCCTCACATTGTAATATCTGCCATAATCAAGAGGAGCTTTACCCCGTCATCTCCGCAGCCGCCTGTGGAGCAGTCGCAGGCTGTTATCACCTTCCTCCAACCCTTCCCCGAGATTCCCAGTCCTGGCTCCCACTTTCACTCAATGTCTGTCAGGTCACTGGGAAACCACCCTCCTACATGCACTGCTTCTTGACGAGTTGGACATAATGGTTGGGAACAGGATTTTGAGTCTCAGGGCTCCTGCAGCAAAAATCCTTCTCTATCTCCTCCAGTTTGAACTAAAACTCTTATTTAAGCTCTGAACTATGAAAACGACTGTGGGGAGAGGCACTTTGGACTAGGATGGGGTACTTGGCAGCCTTGTTGAGATCTGTGAATGTCTTCATGCACCTCGCCTCTATCTCCTCTCTCGCTCTTATCTATTCTACCAGTGACTCCTCAGACTTGAAGGTGAAGCTTTTGGTTTCACCTCAGTCCTTTGGGAAGTTGGGACTGGGCTCTACACTAGAATTTTTCACTACCTAAGAAGGACATGGAGTGGGTCCAGAGGAGGGCCTCAAAGATGATGTGAGGGCTGGAACATCTCTGCTATGAAGACAGGCTGAGAGAGTCGGGGTTGTTCAGCCTGGAGAAGAGAAGGCTCCGGGGACACTTTCTAGTGGCCTTCCAGTACCTAAAGGGGCCTACAAGAAAGATGGAGAGGGGCTTTCACAAGGGTGTGTAGTGATAGGACAAGGAGCAACGGCTTTAAACTGAAAGAGAGTAGATTTAGATTAGATCTAAGGAAGAAATTCTTCCCTCTGAGGGTGGTGAGGCACTGGAACAGGTTGTTCAGAGAAGTTGTGAATGCTCCATCCCTGGAAGTGTTCAAGGCCAGGTTGGATGAGGCTTTGAGCAACCTAATCTAGTGGCAAGTGTCCCTGCCCATGGCAGGGGGGCTGGAACTAGGTGATCTTTGAGGTCCCTTCAAACCCAAACCATTCTATCATTCTATGATTTTCTTAGCCCAAATATGAAAGGCTACAAGCCAGGGCTTTTGCTGATTTAGTCATGGATTCCTCTAATGCGGGTCCAGTTGGACAACCCAAAACCCAGTCACAGATCCCCAGGTGGGCTTCCCTCTGTCTCAACCCATGTTATTTCTTGGGTCGTCCCTATTTCTGCTGTGCTTGTACCTGGGAACTTGGTGTGTTGCCCAGTTTTCACATCTTTGGTCTGATTATTTTTAACCTGGAGGAGCAAAGGTTTCTTCTGCAGGCCACATGGCTGTATTGCTTTGAAAGGTTGGACGGGAAAAGATGCTGATGCTGCCATGAACTCTCTGTCCCTCTTGGTTTCCACCAAGTTTTCATTGTGCTGCATTACCAAGATAGTGCTGACATGAAATATGGTACCTTTCCCAGATTTTTCTCTTTTTAAAATGGCCATGGCAGTCTCCTGGAGGCTGGCTGCCTCCAAGCTGTAACTTCCAAGCCGTAGACATGCAAGTGTCAGTT